ACAAAGGTGAGCAGTTGTAACTACTATTTGGGCCTTTACAGAAAGAGTGTGCTTATTCCTGCTTCAGAGTTAGGTCTAGTCACTAAATAGGGGAGAAATAACTGAAGATAAAACAGCAAAGATTTAAATTCAATATGAGGAAGAAAAAAAAATCAGTAACGATATGAGTTGGCACCAAATGATGCAGGACAAATATCCTTGAGTTGCTTCTTTTTTCTTTTTTTTTCTTTTCTTTTTCTTTTTTTCAAGACAGGGTTTCACCATGTTGGTCAGGCTGGTCTTGAACTCCCGACCTCAGGTGATCCACCCGCCTTGACCTCCAAAGTGCTTGGATTACAGGCGTGAGCCACCACGCCCAGCCGCTTCTTTTTTCTTTACTCTCCCAGTCCGCAGTTACCAAATTCCCTCTGTTGCTTCAAAACACAGCTCTAACTACAGCTCCTCCACGGTCCCTCCTCGCATCTTCCCAGAGCGACCTCAGCTCCTATTACTGTCAGTGCCACACTATGCATCTCCATGTGATGATATTTTTCCTGCTTACTAGGACATCTTCCCTAGATAAACTAGGAACACTTAAGGAAGTCTGTGCCCCTGTATCAGCCAGGGAGACCTTGCAGGAAAGAGATGGTATGCTAAAGCATCCAACTGAGGAGACTTTGGTAAAGGGACTGCTTACTGAATTGTGGGAAGAGCTAAGGCAAGCCAACAAACAACGGGCCAGCAATATCCAAGAGCCATTACTGCAAAGAATCCTTAAACGGTATGGGGAAAGTGAAGGTGCCAGAACACAGAGAGAGCTGTGGTTCTAACTATAGCTGGGGTTGTGGGGAGAGGGTTGTCCAACAAAAGCTGCAACTTTAGGCAGAGGTGCCAAGTTCCTGTCCTGGTCCATGGACAAGCAGGGTGAGAGTGGGAGAACAAATATCTCGACCTCTGATCTGCTAGGAGACAAGCAGGAGACCAGCGGGACCTCTTTCTTCCACTGGCCAAACCCAACCAGATGCCAGAAGACAAGGTCCACGTGGTATATCCCCCAAGAGCGATGGGCCAGGTGAAGAAGGATAATGAGTGGATCTGGAGGGAAAAATGGAAACCATTCAGCACATCCCCATAGCTGGTTTTCAATAGTGCTTGTTGATTGGCTTTGTGTTAATGAATGTGGTGGAAGGCTTGATTACTAAAATGATTTGAATATAAACCGTCAAGAGGCTGAAGGATGAATTTAGGGACATGTGCAGGTCCCTTTCTTGCTCTACAAACTTATAAAAACTACATTGCTGTCAGGGCTGAGGATTTAGTGTGGCCAACATTTTGTCTTCTTCTGTAGGGGGAAAGGAAACAGGGTGCCAAGAAGGAATCCATACTGCTACTCTCATCTGTGCTTAAAAGCTAAATGTATTTCTACCAAATTAAAAATAGAATGTTTGCTACTTAAATGTGAGCTGGTAAGAAAGATAACTCACTCTCCAGCATTCTCATCAGCTAAATACTATCACAGCTACAAGTGTCAAACAGCTACATGGGCAGCCGGGGAATGAGTCTTGCAAATAAAGGCGCACAGTGTGAAATGATGACTTTTGCTGATCAAAAAGCATCCTGGGGAGGGCTGAACAGTTTTGGGTCAAGAAGAAGGCTCGATTTCTGGGGTGATTTTCATCATTATCAGAGAGAAGACTGTACTTGCCGTGAATATATGGCTACTCCACCCACTCCTACTGGCGGAGGCAAACTAGTAGTCACTTGTTTTTGTCAACGGGCCTTTACAGCCCCACCCCACAACGAAACATATTTTTCATTTCAGTTTCACTTGTGTATCACTTTCTCTTTTTAAAGGGTGATTTATAAAGTTAAAAAAAATCAATAAATTTTCAGTGTATTTTCAGGGCGCACGTACGTGTATGTGTGTATGTGTGCACACACACACTCAAACCCTCTGCATGCACGTGACTAAGAACCACAAACTCACTTTCCCCAGCTGGAGCTTTCTTCAGTTTTTGGGCCATGAGTTTCTTTATTCTGTGGCTCTTCCTGTCTAAAAATGTAAAAGTCGTTGCAAGGGAGCTATAATTTCTACTCAACACTTCAGTGATTTGATTATATAAAATAAAAAGTGTAATGAAGTTAACAGTACCTTATTCTTGCAATACATTATGAGGAATATTTTCCTGCAAAAATCTGAAAGTGGAAATTACCTCTGGGCCCCCTAACACTTAAAAATATGGGTCATGATGATTACTGCAGTGGAATTTCAAGCCTTAAGAACGTAATATGTTTCTCTTTCCTCCATTCAGTTCCCCGAAAGGACATCCTCTCTTCCTGGGATAGTATACAAGGAAAGATGAAGAACTTAAGTGACAGGTTGTTCTACTTTTTGGTGTAATCCTAGCATGTGAGCTCAGTGTGTCAAAAGCAGATAACTTCTCTGGGCCTTAAGTCGTCTGCAAAGTGTGGGGACTGGATAATCCATTTTTTAGCATTCTAGATTCAAAAAATAAAAGAAAAAGCATCCCTTGGAAACAAAAACCACTGTAATGCCAGAGATTTTGTTGTTGTTGTTGATTGTTTTCTTCTTGTATTTCACAGCAGCCCTTATCTAGCATCTTCCCTACCTGCTTCTTGCCTAGTAATTTGTGTGGCTTCAGCATAGAGCTGAGGAGGAGCGCAACATCTTGAGTTCAGATTCTCCACAGGCCAGGCATCTCTGATCTTATCCCCAGTCTAGGTCTCTTTCTGACAGGTGGAATTCATTCAAGGTGCATTCAATGTTTTCCATTCCCAAAGAATCAACTCAGAAAGAATACTCTAGCTGTTCTTGTCCCAGAAGTAGCATCTCACTTGAAGAGGAGAACATGATACTGCAGCCAAGGGCAACATTGTAGTCACATGGTCTAAGTGCTATAATGTTGAATAGCATTTAAGCACTCCCCCTACGCACTGTGATAGGAAAGAACACCCTTTTTCAGAATTTTCCCAATCTGGTCATGCAGATGTAACACAGTCTGCCTCTAGGAAACAAAGAAAAGATTTCACTAGTATAAAAACTTTCCTAAGCATGATACAGGGAGACTTAACAGAATTAAGTTTCTCAGGTGGTGCCAAACAAGTTCTCATTTTCATAGTGTTCTATGCCAGCAAGTCAAGAAACATATTTGCAGCCCTCAACAAGTCTCAGGGTACAGCCATATGCCAAGAAGAATGTAAGCTCGATTTAGGCTTTTCAGCTAGACTGGTAATGTGACAGGATTTTACTTATGCCGATATTCAAGCTATCTTTAGGCAAAATTTAAATATGAGCATTGACACTGTTTCCCTTTTTCTGATTTGCAGGTACCTAAGGTCCCCATTCATGGTCACTCATGTCCCCCTGCCCTGTCCCCCCCATCCCTACCTTCCCAGTGCTCTGGGCTCTGCATTCTTCTGTTTTGCCTATTCCCTCAACAAAATTCTGCTCATCTGGTTGACATTTGACAGTGATCCAAGGCCATTTATTAATGGGCACTACTATGAATTATTGCAAGACAATAGCTTATTCTGTTTTACTTTATAGGATATTTGCATACAACTTGAAATCTGAGACAGAAATCTATGGCTTTGGGAACCAACCAATACAGATGATAGAGATTTCTGGGATAAGAGAATCTTTCTTGGGCTGCTCACGTCGTATCATATAGTTGTATCTGTCCTTTGCCTAGGCCTAAGACAAACCCTATTGGCATGCTGATATGTAAAAAGTGTTTTTCTTCTGCAAAGGAGAGGCACAGAAGTTATCTCTTTATCCCAAGTTTCCCCAAAAGTTAAAAAGGGAATACACACACAAACACACACACAGATACATAGACACACTCACACACCACTGTCACCACATTCGACCTGGAGTTAGCAAGATGAAGGATGTGAGATGGGGTCAGATCTACAGAGAGGAGAACTTAAAATGCACCAAAGTCAGCCTCTGAAGGTAGGCTGGTCAATGCACAGCCCAAAAAGACACAGCCATGGATTCTGAATAAGGAGAGAAAAGCTTGACATAAATGCCTAATGCAATCTTCTCTTCAAGTCTCAGAAACTCACATCTATGAACAATTTGTGAGGTGGAGCCTCAGCTGTTAGGAGGTAAATAAGTAATCTGTGCATGACAGAGCAAGACCTCAGCTGCAAAGTTTGAAAGGTATAATGGATAAATCAAACTAATAAATATTTCATTGAACTCCCTCTCTGCTAGACTCCAGGCCAGGTGCTGAGAACATACAAGTGAATAAAGCACATCCCTATAAAACGTGCACAAGAAGGAACCAAGTAAAATCTCTGTTTCAGAAAGTTTGCTTTCTATTTCAAGTTTGCTTGATTGGATTTCTTGCTCTGTTCACATGCATTGCAGAACATAAAAGGTGACCCACGCATGTTAGCCCAGAGACTGTGGAAGAGTCTTAGTGACTTAGTCTAAAGTGACTTAGTCTGTTTCACTGAACTGACCAGAATCTCATACCTGATAGCAAACCCAACCAGGTTGTTATGAATAATGTTCATCAGCATTAAACCTCTTAGAAAGAAAGTTTACAGACAACTGAACTAATGCACATACCAAAGAAGATTTCAGAGACTTCCTTGGCTCTTCAATATTTGAAGCTGTATTGAATTCTTGTTCAACTTATCCCCAAGGTTAAGATAAATGAGTGATGGAACAACTGCATATAGGCTTAGCATTTGGCATCAGCTATACAGTAGTGTTTTTGTATAGGCTGAAGTCTACATCAGCTAGAATATAATTATATATAATGTTGACAGATTATGACGTTTGCCTGTTAAGACACTATACAAACATTCCAACAATTTGCTGGCTTTGAGTTTGTAAAAAAATAAATGAAACAAATTCTCAAGGGCCGTTGCTAATGGGGAAACTGGAAAAGAGGTTTCAAAAGCACAGGGTTCAGGAAATAACAGTCAAAGAATAATGCATTTAAAGCCAAAACATATAGAGTGGTAAATGAATATTTAGTACTTACCACAAGACTGCTGTCTAGAGACAGCCTTTTTCCAAAGTCCCTTTTCTCGAGCTGTCTCTTTCCCTCCATGGATGAAGTTATTTATTTTCCTTTGTGACTTATAATAATCCCCCGTCTGTTTCCAGGGTCACTGAAAAAAGTGAACATGTGTTTTACTATCCAAGTGCACAGTGTTTAGACCTTTGTTTTCAACTCTCTAACCAGAAACAAGCATTGAAGCCAAAAAATACCCAGTCCCAAATAATAAGTATAGAACTGGGTTCTCTCAACTCAAAAGACCACTTGGTGTTACAAATGTAAGGTTGTCTTTATGGCGGCCCCTGTGTTTTTATAGGTTTTGCTAATGGAGTTGGGGAATGGGTTTGCAGGTTGAATCAGCAGACTGTGGAAAAAAGCAAACAGTCCGTTTCATGCCACACTTGCTTCACACCCGTCCTCTATCAGCCAGAATCATTCTGTTACTGTGCACATAGATGCTGTCTGCAAATTCCATGAGATCAAACTGACAAAACCACGCTCCATAACCAAGAGTTATTGAGCTCAAGGTCCAATGAAGGGAAACTGAAACATGAACATCGTTGTCAATATTTAATTTAAAAATATGTCATTTAAAAATATTTGAGGAACATTGTAAGATAGATTCCTTTTGGGATAGATTGATTCAAAATGAATGGTGGGTGATGTCATTACTGTCAATGAGTATTTATAGAACACTCACTGTATTTTTCCATATTAGATACAGTTCATCCTCAACTCCACTGAGATTGCTTTTTCTAGAATGATTAAGTATTCTGGTTAATAAGGATTCATCATATATGTTAAGTGCTAGCTTCCAATTTTCACAAAGATGTTAAAGGCTTGAAATAAAAGAAATAGATTACAGCCCAGGATTTCTTATCCACTAGCCAAGTGACCTTGGACAAGTCATTTAACTTCCCCGAAACTCATTTTTTCTCAACTACAAAACATAATGATAGCAATCAAATGATGTGTGAAAAAATGATTTAGATTCAGTAAATTACAATGCATATGTAAGTTATAATTACCCACAGATTACATTTAAAAGCAGTTAACCTGAAATACCAGTCAACATAATATATCCTTGATGATTCAGAAGGCACTTTGAAGTATAGAAATTGCACATGATCCTCATAAATAAACATAGCCATTGCACTGCTGATACAGAAAAGATGAAATTAACACAATGCCATACCAATCAATTTTTAAATATAATTGAAAAGAAATATGGTCCACAACTCTCAATGGCTCCAAGTCTGACAAGGTTTCATAGCCCACAGGATGTGGGCTCTCTCTCTTGGTTTCCTCCATCAGGAGGGTTGAGACAGTGGTGCCTGAGATAGGGGATGCCCAAACTATTGTCAATCATGGGAAACTGATGGGTTCATGTTCCAGCTTAGGCTCCCTCCTCCATGTTAGTCATTTCATCTCTTACTTTCGAGAACACTAATTTTAGTACATCACTGGTCCACTCAGAAACTCATAAGAGTTCAATCAGAATTTAGGATGAAATTCAAATTTTTCAACATCATTTTCTGAAATTCTAGGCCGTATTTTTCAGAAAAGAAGTTAGTTCTGTATACTGCTATAGGCAAGACTATTAGTCAACTGAAATTTGTTTGGGAGCCTGCCTTTCCGATTTCCAGCTGTTCTTGCCCACTTTGTAGCATTCCCCCTCTCCCCTAGCCTCAGGGACTGTATTCATCCGTAGTTCAGAACACCTTCTGCAATGATGAACCAGCTGGAGACTACTCAGGCCCTCATATTTCCCCCTTCACCAGAAACATTACCTCCTAAGTCTTGATCCCAAACAGCATGGGAATTTGATAGCTCACAATAGATTGCACTTTGGCTGTTAGCACATATGTATTGAGTGTCTACTGCGTAGAAGACAGTAGGAATACCCTAGGAATACCATATGGAATACCGTCCTTAACATATGGAATACGTTAGTTCTTACTAACTTGACACAGTCATGTACAAGAAAAACCAAGTTCCTGCCTTTGTGGAATGCATATTTTAATGAGGCATACAGAAAATAAGAAACAAACAAACTGCTCCAAACTGTAGTAGGGACAGTATGATGGAAATAACCTCCAGGAGGTGGTATAAAAGTGCCAAGCATGTGAACAGGGATAGCTTTTGGATACAGGGCTTAGGGTAGAAGCCAGCCATGTAGAAAGATGGGTAAAGATCCTTTCAGATAGAGGGAATAGGCTTTTAACTGTGAAGGAATCAGAAAAGAACTTAGCTGAGAGAGGACCCATTTCTTAAGAAGAAAATAGCCAGGAAGAGAATGTGTGAGAAAAGGGCTGAGTTGTACACAAAAGCCACAGAGTCTTGTAGGTCAGGGTAACTCTTATAGCTCTTATTCTAAACACAAAGGTTAACCTTAGGTTTTAAATTCACTTACTCCTCACTAGCAGGTAACAGCCAACGAATTATTTAGCCTTTGTAAGCTTCCACTGCTTACTCTATATGATGGCATTAATAATAGGAACTTCTTCATAGAAGGGCTTTGTGATGATTAGTGAGATAAGCCATTGAAATAGTTAGGCTGGGGACAGACACATGTAGGTAAGACTTAAATATTAGATATATTGATCATCCCTTCTGGCAAATATGATTAAACTCATTAAGAGCAACTTGACCTGTAATCTCAGCACTTTGGGAGGCCAAGGCGGGCGGATCACAAGGCCAAGAGATCGAGACCATTCTGGCCAACATAGTGAAACCCCGTCTCTACTAAAAACACCAAAAAAATTAGCTAGGTGTGGTGGTGCACGCCTGTAGTCCCAGCTACTCAGGAGGCTGACACAGGAGAATTGCTTGAACCCGGGAAGCGGAGGTTGCAGTGAGCTGAGGTCGCACCACTGCACTCCAGCCTGGTGCCTGGTGATGGAGTGAGACTCTGTCTCAAAAAAAAAAAAAGAGCAACTTGAGCTACTGGATGTTATGTTACTTCACAGGCACATAGGGCTGTCATTTTGGGAAATGGGGATCCTTCTGATAGTTCTCAAAGAGCCCAGTCTGCCTAGGTGGAAAGCTGATTCAACAGCTTTCTAAATGGATTTGGTCAACTTCTTTTTATATTTTATGGTACCAATAATATAGGCAGAGATGATATTAAAATTATTTAGCAACAATATGGCATTGGCCAATCATAAAGGCACAGTCCAATCAGGGCTGACAATGGCAACAGGCAGTACAATGATAGCAGAGCATCCTAGCCAATTCCCAGCCTAGGTGCACGTACTGGCCCCACTCCAAGAAGGTGAAAATTTGTGAGTTAAACCATAAAACAATCATGGAATGGGTCAGAGTAAAGTTATCCAAGTGGATCAAAGGAAGACTATCTAAAACAAACAGCATGGCAACCAGGATGCAGCAATATAAAAAGAGACATGATTAACAAAGAAAATATCAGAAAGGCTGAAACATTCCCATTCCTCGCACTGCTGGGAAAAGACTACAAACATCCAGCAGAGACTGCAGGTCCAGAGGGGAAAGGAGTATATATCATATTCTAAAGATGCCTGGGATTACCTGGTCCATTTGTACCACCCATCTAACTCAACTAATTCAGAGACTAGTATCATCAAGCAGCCTTCCAACTTTGACTCCTATGTAGTTTCACTTGTAGAAGAAGAACATGCTGACCAACAAATGTAAGTAGACAATCTTTTGAAAAATTACATTTTTAGTGCAAATTTGTGACTTAACATCTGACTCATTATATTTATTTATGTATATGGTTAGTATATTAGAGAGCTCGGGCTGCCATAACAGAATGACACAGACTGAGTGGATGACACAACAGACGTTTATTTTCTCAAAGTTCTGGAGGCTACAAGTCCAAGATCAAGGTGCTAGCAGAGTTGGTTTCTGGTGAGGCCTCTCTCCTTGTCCTGCAGATGGACAGCTTCTCACTGTGTCCTCACATGGCCTTTGCTTGCACATCCCTGTGTCTCTTCCTCTTCTTTTAAGTTCTAGCACATTAGAGTTCCACCTTATGACCTAATTTAACCTTAATTGTCTCCTCGAATGCCCTATTTCCAAATACAGTCACATTGGGGGTTAGAGTTTCAACATATGAAATTTGCAGGAGACATCGTTTAGTCTGTAATAGTTATTTTCAGTCAGGTTTCAAATCACATCTGAGTGTTCTATTAATCAAATTCCTAACTCTAAAAAAACTAAGGGAAACTCTTGAGTTGTGGTGATTATAGTGGCTACCTCCAGACTCCATGCCTCTCTGCTTATTAGGTGGCTGTTGGATGTTACTGCTCCCTTTCTGCCTCACCTTGCCCTGCTGTACTCTTCTCTGTATTGTGCATGTATGGGTGCAAACATGATCAAGACCATTCGGTCAGTGTGTTAATGCTGAATTCTGCCCATGGGAGACAGTGAGAGGAGATTAGAAGGCAAAGGGAAAGAAGAAGTCATTCTGCTTCCAGCTCTGGCAGAGCAGCATCCACAGCAGGTAACTGCAGGCTCCTGCAATTCCTGTGATTCCTCCAATAGGTCACCTAAGAAAGGGCACCAGCAATGCCCCAGTTCATGAGTACTGCCACCTTATCCCTCTGGCTTCTCCAGCCCTGTCAATACCATCATAGAAATTCCCTGCATTAAATTCCTCTTTACTTGAAACAACTACGGTAATTTCCTTTTTCTAGGCTTGACAATGTTTGATGAGAAACCCATGGAGACGCCTTTGGACAGGCAGCAAGCCTTCCTTAGGAAATACCTGGATTCCTTCTTCTGAGTCTTCTGAAATAATAGTCTGGAATTATTTTCTAATAAACACTAAGCCTCTAGAGGGCAGAGATAGCATTTTATGTTCTGTGTCCCCGTAGGTAGTATAACACCTAATGCATAGCAACATGAAGAACATTTGTTGTTTACAGGAATAAATGAATGAATGAATGTTGACAGCTGTCTTTGTGAACATATAAAGTAAGACGAAAATACAATGTTGTTCCACAAAGTATAGTATTTCTTTGTTCAGCAAAGAAATACTATACACACACACCCAAGCCTCAAAGAAAACATTTTGTCACGATTTTAAAATGTCACCAACCTAATAACTATTTACCTACAAAGAGCCATAAC